ACCTTGTGGCTCGAAGTACTTCAGGGAATATTGTGTTGAGAACAGTAAACAATAAACACTCTTATGATGGCTCTTTGTAATTCTGATTTTCCTGGTTCATTCCATCCTGTTGAACTTCCATGGCTTTGATGAGGTTCTAATACTGTTCATTGTAAGGTAATTATGAGATGAAAACGTTACGAGAGGTGCTTCCGGGGCTTAGCGTCCCCGCGGCCCGGTCGTCGACCAGGCCTCCTTTAGTGTACAACACTTGGAGAGAGAGGTATATGAGAGTGAACTTTGAGACTTCGTCAGGTTCTGGCTCGTTGTCTTGAAGATTCCTTCTCTCGTCTCGTAAATGTGCTCATTCATGCTCTCTTATCTCGAGTGTTTTGTTTTACACAAGTCGTCTGTGTATATATCTGGTCCTTGCGTTTGTGTGTGTTTATGCTTCTGCACTCTCGCCTGGCTCTTTCCTCACTGGCTGCCTCCCTCACTTTATGTAAATCTCTCAATTCAGTTAGCTTCAGCTCTGATTTTTTCATTGATTATTTCATGTTCCATAGCCAGCTCTTAGAATGAGAAAATGTGCAGGAATATGTTGTTCTCCCTCTGGAATTCTCTATGGTGCTTTATCTCTCCATTTTGTGTCCACTCTTCCTCTCGTGGCGTGTTGAAAACCAGGCACAAGCCACAATGGATGTATGTGGGATATTAGTTTAAGATTTAGTTAGTACCCGGATGTATACTGGTTTGGAAACAGGGATGTGTTATGGAACAAATTAAGACATGGAATCGTTGGATTGTTCCAGCCGTAGATTAGTAATGTATATTAATTATTTCGGTGGATATACGTAGCTGTCTCCTCCTGGCTCTTCTGAAGTTGACTTTATTCTTGTTAGTGTCAGGACCAGGGGTGAGAGGTGCATCCTAAAGAGAGACCGTTGGTCAGCTGTAAAACTTGTTGCTGGTGAGTTAGTGAGAAGCTTGACACCAAACCTGCCACCAGCCCGCGCCTCGCTGGTGCCAGTGACCCGCGACCAGAGGAAGTGGGTGTGGAGAGGTGGTGTGGCCACTGCTCAAGGCGGCAGGGAGGGAGGGAGAGTGCGGGGGAAAATAATGAGATGGATGAGGATGCTGTGATATAATTATGAACAAAAGATCAAAGCAAGGTACTGTGTGTATACTAGCCTTAGTGTGTGTGTGTGCTCGCGCGTGTGTACTCGCGTAGTTATATTTGCGTGGGTGAGCTTGGTCTCTTGGGTCCGCCTCTCTACCCTTAATAGACTGGTGTATATCAACACGTGTGTATGGAGTCAGCCTCCGCCACTTAGTAATGAATACCATGTATTCACAATTGACACTGACAAGTTTTTCTAACATGGAGAAAACATTTACGTGCTTAAGTTACATCAATGGCCTCTTTTCCGTGTACCACCCATGCTATATAGTTTGTCCTTGTCTGCCCTACCTATTCCACTGACAATTTTGTACGAAGTAATCATGTTCCCCCCTGTGTCTCTCCTCCGGTGAAGAGAGGTTAAAATTCCAGTTAAGTCCTTCCTCGTAAATCAATCCTCTAGACTCTGGAACTGGTATGATGTCATAAATCTTGAACCCTTCTCCAACCTCGTTTATAAATTTAACGAGGGAGGAGCTCAATGTTGCACGCTCTAAGCTTGCACTCTCTGCACGTTTTGCTAGTGTCTTGGCCGTGTACCGTCACCTCGGTTATCTTGAGGGTTATTTTGAGATGATTTCGGGGCTTTTTAGTGTCCCCGCGGCCCGGTCCTCGACCAGGCCTCCACCCCCAGGAAGCAGCCCGTGACAGCTGACTAACACCCAGGTACCTATTTTACTGCTAGGTAACAGGGTCATAGGGTGAAAGAAACTCTGCCCACTGTTTCTCACCCTCAACTAGTCATGTATTGAAATAGCTTCCCTTGCAACTTGATCATAAATTTGGGTTAATGAAACTTGTAGCTAGTACACAACACATTGCTTTGAACCCCTTTTATGTGGTTCTGGAACCTTTCCCACTATCATATATGGGATGGATAAGAGAACTAAATGTGAACTTTCGTATGTGAACTAAACAAAAGCTGGCGCGGCATTTTCCAGAAGTGATCTGACGCGCGTAGTATATGCAACGTTGTATACGCCTTGCTGTATGTGTGTGTGTGTGTGTGTGTGTGTGTGTGTGTGTGTGTGTGTGTGTGTGTGTGTGTGTGTGTGTGTGTGTGTGTGTGTGTGTGTGTGTGTGTGTGTGTGTGTGTGTGTGTGTGTGTGTGTGTGTGTGTGTGTGTGTGTGTGTGTGTGTGTGTGTGTGTGTGTGTGTGTGTGTGTGTGTGTGTGTGTGTGTGTGTGTGTGTGTGTGTGTGTGTGTGTGTGTGTGTGTGTGTGTGTGTGTGTGTGTGTGTGTGTGTGTGTGTGTGTGTGTGTGTGTGTGTGTGTGTGTGTGTGTGTGTGTGTGTGTGTGTGTGTGTGTGTGTGTGTGTGTGTGTGTGTGTGTGTGTGTGTGTGTGTGTGTGTGTGTGTGTGTGTGTGTGTGTGTGTGTGTGTGTGTGTGTGTGTGTGTGTGTGTGTGTGTGTGTGTGTGTGTGTGTGTGTGTGTGTGTGTGTGTGTGTGTGTGTGTGTGTGTGGGTGTGGGTGTGGGTGTGGGTGTGGGTGTGGGTGTGGGTGTGGGTGTGGGGTGTGTGGTGTGTGTGTGTGTGTGGGGTGTGTGTGTGTGTGTGTGTGGTGTGTGTGTGGGTGTGTGTGTGTGTGTGTGTGTGTGTGTGGGGTGTGTGTGTGGGTGTGTGTGTGGGTGTGGGTGTGGGTGTGGGTGTGGGTGTGGGTGTGTGGGTGTTGGTGCTGGGCGGGGTACTAGACACCACAATTGGGTGGAGTTCATCTCTTCTCCCCCCATACCCGGCACGCCCGCCTCGCCCAGCGAGTTGTTCCGCCGCCCACCCATCCCTCTGCCCCCCCCCCACCCACCCATCCCTCTGCCCCCCCCCCACACCCACCCAACCCTCTGCCCCCCCCCCCCCACACCCACCCAATCCCATCCCAGTCCTTCCATATTCATATTGTCTCTCTCTCTCTTGCTTGCTTTGTTTGTTTTTCGCCGTCTTTCAATATATTATATAAGAGGAACTTATTTTCAGTGCGTAATGCGTACAAATTGGCGAATGGGTGTTGGTGGGGTGGGGGGGAAGCCCGATGCTTTAACGAGCCTGGCCTGAGGACAGGTTGCCGATCATTGGGGGGGCTGGGATGTCTGGACCTGGAGGGTCTAGATGGTGTACGTGTCGTCTTTAAGGACTTCATCACTGATTAAACGTTGACAAGTGAGACTCCGTTTTCTATTAGCCTATCATCTCTTTGTTTTGTTTCTTTTCCTCCTTTTCTGTACCTCCGCCTTTACTGTTCTTCTTGTTCTTCTGATTCTCTATTCATCTTGTTTTTCACTTTCTTCCCTTGCGTCCTCTTCCATTTACTCGTAAATGGTGGAGTTATAAGTACTCTTAATCGACTTTTATTGCTCCTTCTCTCCTCCTCTTTATCCTCGTCCTTTTTAATTTCCCCGCCTTCCACATAATCCCTTTCCTCCTTAATATTCACGTTGAGTTTCCAGTTTACAACGATCTGAAGTCTGTCAACAGCTTCAGTTCAAAGACTCTATAGCAAAGTTTAGCCGGGTTAACCCTCCACAGAGGGGGGGGGGCTTCAGGAGCTAGCTCCTCCTGCCCCCCTCCCACAGAGGGGGGGCTTCAGGAGCTACCTCCTCCTGCAGGACGCCGCTCGCGTTAACCGCCCACTAACTCTACTCCATCGATCTACTTTTGCGATACCAAATGGCGTTTAAACGGAGTTAATTTGGTGTAGAGTGAGACCCGCGAAGTGCTCTTGGACATAAAAAATGGGGTTTGTGTGTTGGCTCGATTACGCCACTTGGTCTGGGATGGTCCTGGCGTGAGAGGACGTGCTAATAAAGCCATTTTTGGACAGTGCCTTTTTCTGCCTCGATGATGCCCATGTGTGCGGTCCTGTACACAGGCTGCTTTTTCACTTGCTTAGTTATGGTCTAGATGAGAGACTCGGTAGGGGCCATCAGGGAGGATTCGAACCTGCTCACTTGGTACTCCCAAGCGGGTTCAGCCCCAATGTCTGTCTGTCAGACAGACTGTGGGGCTAAAACCGCTTGGGAGGTTTAACCGTCTCTAGTCACGCAACTAGAGACGGTTAATGAGACAGACACACTGACACACAATCAGTTGGTCCAGAACGAGGTATTGGAGTGAAGCCAGCCAGGGCGAGCACACATTTTACCGGGCAGGGTCTAAGACCTGTGAACAAGTATGTATCGTCATTACTACTCGATAAACAAACCCAACCCTGCGAAAACAATATCGAGTGTTGCCGCGGGACCATTGAGCAAACTGTACGAGCCTGTGGTCCTATGACGGTACTCGCCCTAAATGTATGTGAAGGGTCGAGCCCCGCCTCTTGGACTCCGCCTTACCTGCTGTCCGTTGTGTAATGTGCAGCGATTTCCGACCCTCCTGTTTCCTGTCACGTATAAACCTACAGTACTTTTAATACCGTTTAGATTCAACTCTTTTTTTTTCCCTCTTCAGTTCGTTTCACTATTACGCTTTCGTCTTGAGTTGGTTTTGTGTGTACGCACGTGTTTACTTTTACGAAAGAATGTAACCAAGTCCATTAGTTTGTAAATATTGGGTGGTGGTGCATTAACATGTGTGTGGTCATGGGTTTAAGGTAGATTCTGATGGGCATTCTTAACATACCAGCTTCACCCATCACTAGTGCTCTTGTCTCTTCACCTTTCTTCTTCCATCCTTCCTCTCACATTCTTCTCCTCTCTTCCTTTCTCTCCCTCACACACTCATTGATCTCCAGTACTTGTAGCACCTCAGGCATCAGGACTGTTTTAATTGTTTACATCAATATTTAAGTATTCCTTTTAAAACGGGTATTTCTTCGTCGCCGGCTTAAGTGTGTTCTTTCCTTGCAGGGACGGCTGGTGTGACCACACCTGTCTGAGCCTTATTAAGCATCCTGTCCAGGTGAGTCTTGGAATCCAGTTCTTGGTCGTATATCTCTGCCCCATTTCACCCGCCACCCTGTCATACGGGCTCACCATAGTCCGTGCTACTTGGAACTTGTTCAGAGTAGCTGAATCTATAACAACATGTCGCCACCCCACTACAACTTACAACCACTTGCAGCCACCCACAGTCTGCCACAGTCACAACTCGATAAACAGTAGTTGAGACAAGCTGTAATAATGAACAGTTGTTAACCACCACACGACGTCTAGCTTCACCGTGACGACCGTACCATTCCATCCCTTCTCAGATTCTCCCATTTTTCCATTCTCAGGTTATATAGACTCACTTTTCATATAAAAAGAATATTGATGTGTATATTCACCTAGTTGTGCTTGCGGGGGTTGAGCTCTGCTCTTTCGGCCCGCCTCTCAACTGTCGATCAATCAACTAGAACTACAATTTTTTTTCTCCCCACCCCACACAGTGGCAAAATTTCATTTGTACTACAGTAGGTGACTTTAAGGAAGGATAGGTAGACTGCATCTTCCTAGACTGCCCAAAATCTGTTGATACAGTTCTTTTAATAAGATTAGAGTGTAAATGACAATGGGAAACGCTTGATTTTTTACGTGTTCGGTGTATCCTATTCCCTGCCTCCTACTCCCCCTCACGTCGCTCGTCTTTAAACGAAAAATCACCTTATTATTATTATTAACATCTTTATTGACAAAATTAATTACAATTTTGTCAAATCTGAGGATTTTGAGTCTTATTAAAATGAGGATAATCCTGGTATCAGATATATTTTTTCGCATCCTAAAACTGTTTTAAAATATTAGAAACTTGAATTTCTTGAATTGTTTGTCGAAGCGTCTGCTGGACATGTTTGATGGGAGTAGAGAATTTTGTCTCATTTCGCGCTAGCATCTGGAAGTTGGTGTTTATATTACTCTCGCTTATTTACATTTGGTAGTATAGGCCTCGTTCACATGTTGTTGTTGTTATAGATTCAGCTACTCGGAACAAGTTCCAAGTAGCACGGGCTATGGTGAGCCCATAACTTACCTGGCACAGGAGCGGGGCAAGAAGCGCTCGTTCACAGCCTCAGTCGCAGTTTTTCACGCGAGTATGATAGCATAATATTTACAGCCAGGTATACTAAATTCCCTTCACACTGTGTCATTCTGTCAAGTGTGTACTGGTGTAATCATCCTCCGGCCGCTGCACTGTACCATATTATACCTCTGTACCTTTCCCCCCAAATCAACAATGTACCATTCTGTCTCCCTCCTGTTCTTTGCCCCTTTCCCCCCTCTCTACCCCTCCTGGGGCGCTGCACTGTGCAGGTCATACCACCACCTTCCCCCCTCACCCCCTAACCAATCCCTTATCCCCTAACCAATCCCTCCCCCCCCCGTAACCCGTCCCCCGTCCCTCACTCCCCCCCCTCCTCCATGGGGCGCTACGACACTTGGAGGTCAGTCGTGTTACCTGACCCTCGTTCGGGGATGTGATACGACTCTGTAGGTCGTCCGTGTAATCTAAACCGGTTGTTGATGAGCTAAACGATGTTCAGCGGTTAAGGATGGATATTCATTACCGTGAACTACGTCCAGTGCTCGGTGTGGTGGGCTGGCTTCCTTGTCTAGCCGTGTTCCTCTGCTGCATTTGTTAGACAGATGCTTGGCTCGTCTTCGCCAGCGGCTTTGACATTGTCAATATTCCTGACTAGCTAACCAGGGCCCAAAAGGCGTCCCTGTTGGGGGAGATTTGTCAATGGGTTTGGGTGGAGGAGGAAGAGCTGTGGCCGATGTCTTGGCTCCTGTGTTTACTCACATGTTTTGACGCCTCGGGGGAGGGAAAGGACGCAACTGATTACCAGACTAAAGACACAAGGTTTAGCGGCCAGCACATCCCTCCCTCCCTGGAGGCCGGTAGGGATCCTCCCTGACCATAACCTGCTCATTCTTGTCATTTCCTTCCATTCCTCCTTCCTATCCCCTCATTCGTCTATTCACCTTCCTTCCCCTCTCCCTATTAATTCTGCATTGTTTAGTATAGTTAGTGGCTGGTTTCCCGCGTCCTATTTTTATTCAAATTTGTTTATTAATAATTGAACGTGGCCCCTTCCTGTAGCGCCTTTATACTTGATCAAGCTGGAAGGGTACAAGAGCCATATTACAGTTTCTACTTTTGTATTTTCCTGTCATTTTTTTGCTGTAGCTGGTATTACCCATTGTACCGGGTCCCTGAAATACAAATTCAGCCATAAACTTGCATCGTCGGTCCCGTTACTGATTTTTTTATTTATTATTATTATCTACCACAGTCGTGGCCAGACATTTACAATGCTAACCAGAATATATATACATTTTCTTTTGTCCTCCATGGACAGGGTTAGAGATGTGTTAAACATGTAGTTCGGTGATTTATTGAACAATCGACCACAGACCGTGATGGTAGTGCTTTTAAAATGCGAATCTAACGTACAAACATAAATACATAGATGTACAGGTATATGTCTGCCAGATATACAGATATACCCTACAAATATATACCAGATATACGGCTACCCTATATAAAGTGTTCGATGTCTTTTTAGTGTCGATGTGCGTTTACAAAGGTGAAATAAAATTCTGACCAGCTTCCACATATCCTGTATATATATATATATATATATATATATATATATATATATATATATATATATATATATATATATATATATATATATATATATATGTCGTACCTAGTAGCCAGAACTCACTTCTCAGCCTACTATTCAAGGCCCGATTTGCCTAATAAGCCAAGTTTTCCCGAATTAATATATTTACTATAATTTTTTTCTTATGAAATGATAAAGCAACCCTTTTCTCTATGTATGAGGTCAATTTTTTTTTATTGGAGTTAAAATTAACGTAGATATATGACCGAATTTAACCAACCCTACCTAACCTAACCTAACCTATATTTATATGTAAGGTTAGGTTAGGTAGCCAAAAAAAGCTAGGTTAGGTTAGGTTAGGTAGGTTAGGTAGACGAAAAAACATTAATTCATGAAAACTTGGCTTATTAGGCAAATCGGGCCTTGAATAGTAGGCTGAGAAGTGCGTTCTGGCTACTAGGTACGACATATATATATATATATATATATATATATATATATATATATATATATATATATATATATATATATATATATATATATATATATATATATATATATATATATATATATATATATATATATATATATATATATATATATATATATATATATATATATATATATATATATATATATATATATATACACACACACACACACACACACACACACACACACACACACACACACACACGCGTACATTTATGTGTCTCCTACTCTTGACAGGGTAAGCTAGCAGCTATAGAAACTAGTGTTATTAAGCACTATACCACTGAAGGTGATTAAGATGCTTTTACAAGCTCAGGTTATATAGTTACATCACATATATATTATATAATTGATACATGGTCAATCTTTGGTACAAATCCAATATATCAAGTGTTCCAGTACTGGTGAGTGTCCAGGTAGGCCAGGAGAGTAGGTTCAGATAACTTACACATGGTAGCTCCACTTTGCCTCAAGATTCGAACCCTGGGTCACCTGGACTGCGAAGTGGTTGTGCTATAGCCAGTGTACCACTTCTCCTTCCATGTAGTTAGTGAATGCTGTGATTTAAATCATGCCGTTTTCTGGTCAGTTGGTTGAAGTTCACATTAGGACTTTTTAAAAATATTTAACTTTTGGAATTCAACATGTGAACTACCACTGAGAAAAAACAAGTTTAAATCATGCACAAGTAAATTAAATCTTAATTCAAAGGCATTAAAGTTCTTCTTATTATTCAGTTATTCCTCTTTAAATAATAATTTACCCTAGTGTCACCCTCTCGAGTGGCCTCTGTGGAAACAGGAAGCCGGCTGCTTGTCAGAGGTGTCGGTTATTCCCGATGATGATTTAGAGCCGAGTTTTAAGCATCTGGCACTTGCGTCTTCGGCTGTGAGGTGATGCCAATGGGTTTATAACCCTAAGGGTGGAAGAAGCATCTATATCGCCTGTCCTACATCGTGGCATGTTCAGCTTGAAGCTGTTGCCCTCTTTGTGTGCGTTACATTGGACCTTTTGAACAAGTGGTCTGGTTTTTATGGGGAGGGTAGAGGAGGGGGGGTTATTATGGCAATGTCCTTTTAAGCACCTTCCTAGAGACGACCTTTTATTTTTGTTTCAAAGTGGTAGACAAGCGTAAGATATTGTGGGTGCGCTTGTGCCTTAGTGTACAGGACCTACGGGGTAATGTTCACACCTCCACGTCCAGGCACCATACATAAAGGACGCGGTCTTGACTAGGCCGACTAAAGAGCCTAAATCTGTACTATTGAGCGCAGGCGGGAGAGATACATAATAATTTACACATGGAAAATAGTAGAGGGGCTGGTCCCAAACCTGCACACAGAAATAACATCACATGAGACCAGAAGACATGGCAGGATGTGCAGAATATCCCCGTTGAAAAAGAGGTGCAACAGGCACTCTGAGAGAGAACTCTATCAACATCAGAGGCCCGAGACTGTTCAACACGCTTCCACTACACATAAGGGACATAACTGGCCGACCCCTCACAGTGCAACCCGTTCTCGCAAATTTAAGAAGTCAATATTGACTTATTAACTACGTGCATAGGTGATATACTAAACATAATAGATACCCTTAAAAAGATTCATAGAAAACACCGACCTTACCTAACCTTGTTAGTATCTTAAGATAAGCATCTTATTGCTTCGTAATTACAATTACCTAACCTATACCTATTATAGGTTAGGTAATAATTGTAATTACGAAGCAATAAGATGCTTATCTTAACATACTAAGTAGGTTAGGTAAGGTCGGTGTTTTCTATGAATCTTTTTAATGGTATCTATTATGTTAAGTATGTCACCTATGCACATATTTAATAAGTCAATATTGACTT